CCCAGGGTAGGGTGTTAACTAGCCAGGAAAACCCAGGGTAGGAAGTGCTAGCCACCCAGGATAACCCAGGGTAGTGAGTGTTAGCTAGCCAGGATAACCCAGGGTAGGAAGTGTTAGCCACTCAGGATAACCCAGGGTAGGGAGTGTTAGCCACTCATGGTAACCCTGGGTAGGGAGTGTTAGCCACCCAAGATAACCCAGGGTAGAGAGTGTTAGCCACCCAGGATAACCCAGAGTAGGGAATGTTAGCCACCCAGGATAACCCAGGTTAGGGAGTGTCAGCCACCCAGGGTAGGGAATGTCAGCCACCCAGGATAACCCAGGGTAATCAGTGTTAGCCACCCAGGATAACCCAGGGTAGGGAGTGTCAGCCACCCAGGGTAGGGAGTGTTAGCCACCGAGGATAACCCAAGGTAGGGAGCGTTAGCCACCCAGGATAACCCAGGGTAGGGAGTGTTAGCCACCCAGGATAACCCAGGGTAGGGAGTCTTAGCCTCCAGGATAACCCAGGGTAAGGAGTGTTAGCAACCCAGGATAACCCAGGGTAGGGAGTGTTAGCCACCCAGGATAACCCAGGGTAGAGAGTGTCAGCTACCCAGGATAACCCAGGGTAGGGAGTGTCAGTCACCCTGGGTAGAGAGTGTCAGTCACCCAGGGTAGGGAGTGTCAGTCACCCAGGGTAGGGAGTGTCAGCCACCCAGGGTAGGGAGTGTCAGCACCCAGGGTAGGGAGTGTCAGCCACCCAGGGTAGCGAGTGTCAGCCACCCAGGGTAGGAGTGCCCACCCCCCTGGGTAGGAGAAGTGTCAGCCACCCAGGGTAGGGAGTGTCAGCACCCAGGGAAAGGGAGTGTCAGCCACCCTGGGTAGAAGTGTCAGCCACCCAGGGTAGGGAGGTCCCCCCCAGGGTAGGGAAGTGTCAGCACCCAGGGTAGGAGTGTCAGCCACCCAGGGTAGGGAGTGTCACCCACCCGGGGTAGTGTCAGCCACCCAGGGTAGGAGTGTCAGCCACCCAGGGTAAGGGAGTGTCAGCCAACCAGGGTAGTGAGTGTCAGCCACCCAGGGTAGGGAGTGTCAGTACCCAGGGTAGGAGTGTCAGCCACCCAGGGTAGGGGGGGTCAGTACCCAGTTAGGGGTGTCAGTCACCCAGGTATTGGTGTCAGCACCAGGAAAGGGAGTGTCAGCCACCCAGGGTATGGTGTCAGCCCCCCAGGGTAGTGGTGCACTGCATCCCAGGGTAGTGAAAGCACCCAGGGTAGGGATTTGCAGTCACCCAGGGTAGGAAGTGCCCAGCCCACCCAGGGTAGGAGTGTCAGCCACCCAGGGTAGGAGTGCGCACCCAGGGTAGGGTCAACCCAGGTAGTGTCAGCCACCCAGGGTAGGGAGTGTCAGCCACCCGGGGTTGGGAGTTACCTCACCCGGGGTTTATGGTGTCAGCCACCCAGGGTAGATGTCAGAACCCAGGGTAGTGAGTGTCAGCCACCAGGTAGGAGTGCCCAGTCACCCAGGGTAGGGAGTGTCAGTCACCCAGGGTAGGAGTGTCAGCACCCCAGGGTAGGTGCAGTCACCAGGGTGGGAGTGTCAGCCACCCGGGTAGGGAGTGTCAATCACCCAGGTATGGGTAGTCACCCACCCCTGAGTAGTTATCACCGGGTAGTGGTTCAGTCACCCAGGGTAGGGTGTCAGCCACCCGGGGTAGGGAGTGAGCCCAGGGACGGCACCCACCCAGGGTAGGGAGTGTCAGCCACCCAGGGTAGGGAGTGTCAGCCACCCAGGGTAGGGAGTGTCAGCCACCCAGGGTAGTGAGTGTCAGCCACCCAGGGTAGGGAGTGTCAGTCACCCAGGGTAGGGAGTGTCAGTCACCCAGGGTAGTGAGTGTCAGCCACCCAGGGTAGGGAGTGTCAGCCACCCAGGGTAGTGTCAGCCACCCAGGGTAGTGAGTGTCAGCCACCCAGGGAAGGGAGTGTCAGCCAACCAGGGTAGTGAGTGTCAGCCACCCAGGGTAGGGAGTGTCAGTCACCCAGGGTAGTGAGTGTCAGTCACCCAGGGTATGGTGTCAGTCACCCAGTGTAGGGAGTGTCAGTCACCCAGGGTAAGGAGTGCCAGTCACCCAGGGTAGTGTTCAGTCACCCAGGGTAGTGTCAGCCACCCAGGGTAGGGAGTGTCAGTCACCCAGGATATGGTGTCAGTCACCCAGTGTAGGGAGTGTCAGTCACCCAGTGTATGGTGTCAGTCACCCAGGGTAGTGAGTGTCAGTCACCCAGGGTAGGGAGTGTCAGTCACCCAGGGTAGTGTCAGTCACCCAGGGTAGGGAGTGTCAGTCACCCAGGGTAGGAAGTGTCAGTCACCCAGGGTAGTTAGTGTCAGTCACCCAGGGTAGGGAGTGTCAGTCACCCAGGGTATGGTGTCAGTCACCCAGGGTAGTGTCAGTCACCCAGGGTAGGGAGTGTCAGCCACCCAGGGTAGGGAGTTTCAGTCACCCAGGGTATGGTGTCAGTCACCCAGGGTAGTGTCAGTCACCCAGGGTAGTGAGTGTCAGCCACCCAGGGTAAGGAGTGTCAGCCACCCAGGGTAGGGAGTGTCAGTCACCCAGGGTAGGGAGTGTCAGTCACCCAGGGTATGGTGTCAGTCACCCAGGGTAGGGAGTGTCAGCCACCCAGGGTAGGGAGTGTCAATCACCCAGGGTATGGTGTCAGTCACCCAGGGTAGTGTCAGTCACCCAGGGTAGTGAGTGTCAGTCACCCAGGGTAGGGAGTGTCAGTCACCCAGGGTAGTGAGTGTCAGTCACCCAGGGTATGGTGTCAGTCACCCAGGGTATGGTGTCAGTCACCCAGGGTATGGTGTCAGTCACCCAGTGTAGGGAGTGTCAGCCAACCAGGGTAGGGAGTGTCAGTCACCCAGGGTAGGGAGTGTCAGCCACCCAGGGTAGGGAGTGTCAGCCACCCAGGGTAGGGAGTGTCAGCCACCCAGGGTAGGGAGTGTCAGCCACCCAGGGTAGGGAGTGTCAGTCACCCAGTGTAGGGAGTGTCAGCCACCCAGGGTAGGGAGTGTCAGCCACCCAGGGTAGGGAGTGTCAGTCACAAAGGGGAGCGAGTGTCAGCCACCCAGGGTAGGAGTGTCAGCCACCCAGGGTAGCGAGTGTCAGCCACCCAGGGTAGGGAGTGTCAGTCACCCAGGGTAGGGAGTGTCAGTCACCCAGTGTAGGGAGTGTCAGCCACCCAGGGTAGGGAGTGTCAGCCACCCAGGGTAGGGAGTGTCAGTCACCCAGTGTAGGGAGTGTCAGCCGCCCAGGGTAAGGAATGTCGGCCACCCAGGGTAGGGAGTGTCAGCCACCCAGGGTAGGGAGTGTCAGCCACCCAGGGTAGGGAGTGTCAGTCACCCAGGGTAGGGAGTGTCAGTCACCCAGTGTAGGGAGTGTCAGCCACCCAGGGTAGGGAGTGTCAGCCACCCAGGGTAGGGAGTGTCGGCCACCCAGGGTAGGGAGTGTCAGCCACCCAGGGTAGGGAGTGTCAGTCACCCAGTGTAGGGAGTGTCAGCCACCCAGGGTAAGGAATGTCGGCCACCCAGGGTAGGGAGTGTCAGCCACCCAGGGTAGGGAGTGTCAGCCACCCAGGGTAGGGTGTGTCAGTCACCCAGGGTAGGGAGTGTCAGTCACCCATTGTAGGGAGTGTCAGCCACCCAGGGTAGGGAGTGTCAGCCACCCAGTGTAGGGAGTGTCAGCCACCCAGGGTAGGGAGTGTCGGCCACCCAGGGTAGGGAGTGTCAGCCACCCAGGGTAGGGAGTGTCAGCCACCAGGGGGGGAGTGTCAGCCACCCAGGGTAGGGAGTGTCGGCCACCCAGGGTAGGGAGTGTCAGCCACCCAGGGTAGGGAGTGTCGGCCACCCAGGGTAGGGAGTGTCAGCCACCCAGGGTAGGGAGTGTCAGCCACCCAGGGTAGGGTGTCGGCCACCCAGGGTAGGGAGTGTCAGCCCCCCAGGGTGGGAGTGTCAGCCCACCCGTGTAGGGAGTGTCAGCCACCCAGGGTAGGGAGTGTCAGCCACCCAGGGTAGGGAGTGTCAGTCCCCCGTGTGGGGGGTGTCAGCCGCCAGGGTAAGGAATGTCGGCCACCAGGGTAGGGAGTGTCAGCCACCCAGGGTAGGGAGTGTCGCCACCCAGGGTAGGGATGGTTGGCACCCAGGTAGGGAGTGTCAGTCCCCAGTGTAGGGAGTGTCGGCCACCCGGGTAGGGAGTGTCAGCCACCCAGGGTAGGGAGTGTCGGCCACCCAGGGTAGGGAGTGTCAGCCACCCAGGGTAGGGAGTGTCAGCCACCCAGGTAGGGTGTCGGCCACCCAGGGTAGGGAGTGTCAGCCACCCAGGGTAGGGAGTGTCAGCCACCCAGGGTAGGGAGTGTCAGCCACCCAGGGTAGGGTGTGTCAGTCACCCAGGGTAGGGAGTGTCAGTCACCCATTGTAGGGAGTGTCAGCCACCCAGGGTAGGGAGTGTCAGCCACCCAGTGTAGGGAGTGTCAGCCACCCAGGGTAGGGAGTGTCGGCCACCCAGGGTAGGGAGTGTCAGCCACCCAGGGTAGGGAGTGTCAGCCACCCAGGGTAGGGAGTGTCAGCCACCCAGGGTAGGGAGTGTCGGCCACCCAGGGTAGGGAGTGTCAGCCACCCAGGGTAGGGAGTGTCAGCCACCCAGGGTGGGAGTGTCATGTCAGCCACCCAGGGTAGGGAGTGTCAGCCCCCCAGGGTAGGGAGTGTCGGGCCACCCAGGGTAGGGAGTGTCACCCACCCAGGGTAGGGAGTGTCAGCCACCCAGGGTAGGGAGTGTCAGCCACCCAGGGTAGGGAGTGTCAGCCACCCAGGATAACCCAAAAAAGACCAAGGGACTTGTATCCACCCGACAGACATATGAACGTGAACATTTTAAGTGTCAGGTGAGACTGTACAATAAGAGTATATAGTTATGTTACGTCACTATGATAAAAATACAACAACAAGTGTTGTTAACCCATCATTATTACCTGAGTTGTGGAATTTGTTGAGAAACTGAATACGCCAGAGATTCTAGTCAGCTGCCTATATTCAGAAGAATGTAATATTCTCTGAAGAATCATACCGCTCACGTTCTTCACGATACGTTCACTTGCTGGTATTAATTAGCGCTAACACAGTTGATGAAACTTCTTGTTGGGGGTTTATAGGGCTACTGACACCTTGTGCCGTATTTTCTGGATGGGGTTTGCAGGACTACTGAGAACTTCAAATTCAAATTCAAATTCAAATTCAAATTCAAAGTTTATTCTCTATAAGGATTACAATGCTGAGTTTACAGAAATTTGGTTATTGTTTGGTTTACATGTAGTAAAATTGTGATTACAGAGTGTACCACTAGAACGCTTAGCATGGCTAGGCATTTCGGGCATACTTAGTTTTATTCTTAATTGTAAAATATTACAAATTATGAGGTAAGTTGGTATTATGGCTAAGTGACTAAATACTAGTTTATGAGTTTAGCAATGTGAATGCTTTTGTTTTGGCACAGTATATAGTTTCAGTATTGGAGTATCACAGGATTATTATTTTAAGACTGAGATTAATATTTCTGTTTATGGTCAATGAGTGAGCGAGTGTAAGTGTGAACCACCAGGTGGTATTCGTATAGTTAGTTGAGGGGGTGTATCAGGAGATAAGATTTTTTTCTAATGGTAGTTTTAAAGGTGATGAATGTGTCTGCAGTTCTAGAGTTCTCAGGTAGGGTATTCCAGTTTTTTAGGGCCTTTGACATTCATTGAATTTTTGTAAAGGTTTAGTCGGAGCACGGAAGCGTAGTGATGTTTGTGTCTGTGTATGACTGGGGATTCTACTCACACAACTATCAAGAAAGCGTTTTAGGCGTTCACGGTTGATTAGTAGAGTTTAAGGCCCTGTAGATATTGATGCACAGTAGTATAAGTGTACGATGTACTGAACTTTGGGTTAAGTTTAAGATTCTTTGAAAGAGTGGGGGGGGTTGCTGCCAGGGATGGGATTTAGTGATTATTCTTACTGCAGCTTTTTGTTTGGAGGACTTATTATGGTTTTTTAGTAGGTGTGTTGCTGCAGTTGATCCCCAAAGCATCAAATAGCAATAGGTGAGGTATGGATAAATAAGTGATTGGTATTAGTGTATCTTGGAGAGGATCCCCCAACGTTTTGGATACTTTTTTGGCTATAAGGGCTGGTTATGGGTGCTGAAATTCAAGATTGTTGTCAAGGTATAACCTAGAATTTTCCCCCATTATTTCTGGGTAATTAGAGTGTTTCAATCTTAAGGCGCAGAAATCGGACACCAATCCATCATTCCTGGAGTGGAACCATACAGTCGATGGCCTCCACTCCAAACCAACAGATACAGATACTAAAGCCGAAAAACAAACATCCCCCCCACCAGTACCAACAATACCACCATCGATAACTTTCTTCTTTGTAGCAAATATACAGGGTCTAAAGCCAGCAACAAACAACAAAATACCTTTCATCCGGGGACTAGCTTTGCAGAGAGCAAAGGAATGTTTCGCGGCTTTCACTAGACCCCATAAAGTCACTTGGACAACGAAATATGGATCCCAGGTTACAACCTATACAGATGTGACAGAGTGAACAGGCAAAAGGGGGGGGGTTGGCCTGTACATTGCAGAGTCACTTGTTTTGCACAGAACTGCTTAATGCCTCAAATGACGTAGTGGAAGTTTTAGCAGTAAAGGTCGAGAACCAAAACCTAGTCATTGTGGTAGTCTACAAGCCTCCGGATGCAACATCCCAGCAATTCCAGGAACAGCTGTTAAAAATCGACCACTGTCTGGAAAATCTTCCAGCTCCTGCACCCAACATCTTGCTCCTGGGGGATTTCAACTTAAGGCACCTAAAATGGAGGAATATAGCAAATAATATTGTTGCAGTAATAACACCAGGAGGCAGCTCTAATGAAAACTCACACTCACACGAGCTTTTAAATCTCTGCACAAAATTCAATTTAAACCAGAAAATAATAGAGCCTACTAGACTGGAGAATACACTAGACCTCATCTTCACTAACAATGATGATCTGATAAGAAATGTCACCATATCAAAAACAATATACTCAGATCACAACATAATTGAGGTTCAGACATGTATGCGTGGAGCCCCAGACCGACAAAATGAGACTAGTCACGAGGGAGCATTCACCAAATTCAACTTCAAGGACCATAACATTGTATCAATCGCATCTGCTAGAAAAATGACAGGATGGATAATGAGAACCTTCAAAACTAGGGAGGCCAAGCCCATGATGACACTCTTCAGGTCACTTGTTCTATCTAGGCTGGAATATTGCTGCACTCTAACAGCACCTTTCAAGGCAGGTGAAATTGCCGACCTAGAAAATGTACAGAGAACTTTCACGGCGCGCATAACGGAGATAAAACACCTCAATTACTGGGAGCGCTTGAGGTTTCTAAACCTGTATTCCCTGGAACGCAGGGGAGAGATACATGATTATATACACCTGGAAAATCCTAGAGGGACTAGTACCGAACTTGCACACGAAAATCACTCACATACGAAAGCAAAAGACTTGGCAGAACGATGCACCATCCCCCCAATGAAAAGCAGGGGTGTCACTAGCACGTTAAGAGACCATACAATAAGTGTCAGGGGCCCGAGACTGTTCAACTGCCTCCCAGCACACATAAGGGGGATTACCAACAGACCCCTGGCAGTCTTCAAGCTGGCACTGGACAAGCACCTAAAGTCAGTTCCTGATCAGCCGGGCTGTGGCTCGTACGTTGGTTTGCGTGCAGCCAGCAGCAACAGCCTGGTTGATCAGGCGCTGATCCACCAGGAGGCCTGGTCACAGACCGGGCCGCGGGGGCGTTGACCCCCGAAACTCTCTCCAGGTAAACTCCAGGTAATGTTAATTTGTGCATCTCCTGCTCTGCTACCAAACATAATATAGTAAGTTTTGTCAGTGTTAAGCGTAAGTTTATTGGCTGTCATCCAAGTCGATATTTTAATCAGCTCCTCATTCACAATGGTGTTGAGGGTGGCAAGATTAGTGTGAGAGATGACATAAGTCGTGTCATCAGCAAAGAGAATGGGTTTCAGGTCAGTTGTGACGTATCTTCTTGAATAATAATAATGCTCATTTCTACAAGTACATGTACAAGGTATACAGGTATATAAGCCACGTCTACGGCCCTATGCTGTACTTTCTACAAGATTGATGGACTGAGCATATCGACTCCAGACTGAGGGACTGATTACCTCAAACTATTCCTGTCTTACACCTTTCTGATTTGTATTGGACTGATGAAGTCACTGTGTGGCGAAGCGTTTCGTCAATAAAGAGTCCCATATGTTGCATAAGTGTCTCAATCTTCAGCGCTAATGTCCCATGATAACTGATGCACGCATGAGCAAAGATCACTTACTACTCTCAGGTGACTTCAATATAAATCTCCTACAAGACCAAGACCCACACGTTACTGAATTCACAAACACAATGAGCAATTGCATGTTGCTACCAACAGTAACAAAACCTACAAGAATTACAGAGACTAGTGTTTCCCTAATAGTCCACATCTGGACCAACACCATATCCCCCTTAATTTTAATTTTGAGGGGTGGATGAATGGTAACACATCGACTCCTTTATTTTTCAACCGATTACGTTAATTTTTGGTGTACTATTAGAAGATTATATCGAGTATCCTGTGCTGAAGTTTCAAACATATCGGCCAAAAAGGAAATGAAATATGCAAAATTTACGAAAAATTACATTTGGCAGTCGGAGGTGACTCAGTGGTACTTGGAAAAGTGGTTTTGACACTTGCTGCTGATAGAACACTTCTAATTCCATCACGAAACGTGAACCAATTCTAAAATAAACCTTATCTTCATGCTAAAAAAAATAAAGTTTCATAACTTTTTGACATTTTGGAAGATGTCGGTCTTGTTGCCCACATAAATCTAAAAATATTTGGGATACTTCAGAAAGGAACACGGCCACTAATAAAGCAATCATTCTTCTATGTTTGTTGTGAAAATCAAGTCAATTCATTCATAAATAAGGATGGTCCCGGCCTAAATAGGTAAATAACTTACTTCCGAGATATAAGCCGCAGCGCGCGGCACCCCAGGTGCCCGGGAAATTTTTTTTCCCCCGAAAAATTCGCTTTCTTTTTGCACTGTTTCCTTGCCCTACGAGTGTTTATTACAGTTAACCATTATAAATCTCCGTTTTCTCTCATCACTGAAGGAAGGGGT